TGGGCGGGGGGGGGGGGGGGGGGGGGGGGGGGGGGGGGGGGCGAGAGGAAGCCGCTGTATGTGGAGTTTTTGGACAGTAAGTCACGTGGATGTATTTTTTTGTGTGTGTGTCTTATGTTGTTGCATGGTTTGTGTTCTCAGACAGTTCTGAAGAAGAGGAAAGGGCGAGAGAGGGTGGAGGCTGTCATGTGGGGAGGGTTTGTTGCTTCTCAAGATTTAAATCTTTAATTACACTTTCCTGGCCGGCCGGTGAGTCCCAGAATTTGAAAAGGAAAACAAAGTCGTCCTAAACCCAAAGTCTTGAATCTTCTTTAAACTTTTATCCCCCTGTTTAGCAATAGCTTAAATGCCTATGTCGTGGCTTTATTTTGTTTGTTAGAAAGTGGGGCAGAGGAAAGACAAACCCAACCAACCTGTTGTGTGGAGAATTCATCTGGCGCTGGGTTTGGGGTTTTTGTTGGGTTTGTTGTTTTTGGTTTGGTGGTTTTTTTTGTTTTTTTTTTTCCCTTTAATCCCCAAACCCTCCACCTGTTTTCTTTTCTCCTTTGCCAGAAATGCTTTCTCTGAAGAAATACTTCACCGAAGGCCTCATCCAGTTCACCATCCTGCTCAGCCTGATCGGCGTTCGTGTGGACGTGGACACCTACCTGAACTCGCAGCTCCCTCCTCTGCGGGAGATCATTCTTGGCCAGAGCTCTGCTTACACCCAGACCCAGTTTCACAACCTGCGGAACACCTTGGATGGCTATGGCATCCACCCAAAAAGCGTAGACCTGGACTATTACTTCACCGCTCGCAGGCTGCTCAACCAGGTGAGGGCCCTGGACAGGTTTCAGGTGCCCACCACCGAAGTCAACGCTTGGTTGGTGCACAGAGACCCCGAAGGCTCCGTCTCCGGTAGCCAGCCCAGCGCCGGCATCGCCCTCGAGAACGGTGGCAGCCTGCAGGATGGGAACAGTCCCGACAACGGGGTGAGGGAGAGCGGAGCAGAGCAAGGCTTTGGGGAAGAACTGGAAGATTTGGGAGCGGTGGCTGCCCCGGTGAATGGAGACCTGACCAAAGAGGTAGGCAGGACCTTCTTTTGCCTGTGGTGGGAGGGAAAGGGGGATTTTGGGGGGTGCTCTTGCCCTCTGGTACCCACCCGAGCGAGCGGTACTTTGCATGTTGTGGGTGTTTAGCACTTGGAAAAAGTGGGATCTCCTCTTGGGAACGGCGTGATGCAAACTGAGGGCTCTGTGTGGGGTGGTGTGTTTGTTTTCTTCTTGCTCTGAAAGCCAGAGTGAAAGGAGAAGGAGGGGAGAA